CACTAAAGTTTGAGGCCCACTATAGGAACCTATTTATCCCTGTATGATGTACATAGAATATTAAATTGATTAATCCTGATTGAAATAGAGTAGGGGTCCAAATGAATTGCTACTCACAGTACTATTATTACTCCCATTTCACAGTTGAGGAAACTGAGGCAGAACAAGGTGAAATGACTTGCTTAAAGTCCCACAGATAGTAAGTGTCTGAGGTAAGATTTGAACTGACTCCAGGCCCAGAGCTCTATCCACTACACCATCTAGCTGCCTCTGTATTCTATTAATGCAGCCTGAGATTGCATTAGCTTTTTTTGGTTGTCATGTCATACATATTGACTTGTATTGAGCTATAAGTCCAACAAAAACCTCCTGATCTTTTTCACATGGATTATCTAGGCAGGTTGTCCCCATTATGTACCCATTTACTTAAAAAAAAAAATTTAACTCAAGCATAGGACTTATAGCTAACCTCAGAGTCAAGAAGAAGTGTTCGAGTGTCTTCCTCTGACACGTACTGAACCTAGACAAATCACTTCACCTCAGTGACCCAGGCATTTTCCTAAGTTTCTAGTTTCTCCGCAACTACATAGTTGCGGAGCCAGTGCTGATCTTCATCGGCAGAGGGGATTTCTTCAGCAGGAGTTCACTAGATGAAATCATAGGTTTTGTGTCCCTTACTCTCCTTTCCCCCAAATCATCTTATTAGCTTTGGCCTGTTGCAATGTTTTTGAATTCAGATTCTTGTTATCAAATGCATTAGTCATTTCTCCTAGTGCATGACACTTGTGAATTTTACAAACAACCTGTAGCTCTTCAAGATTCTTCTCCAGGCTGACATGCTGCTCCCCCTCCCCTTTAATCATCCCTCTCTGGGTCTAGATGTTCAAACTGTTTTAAATGTATATTAGACAGCTAGGTGGCACAGTGGCCACAGTGTGGGCCCTAGAGCCAGGAAGACCTGAGTTCGAACATGACCTCAGACAGTTACCAGCAGTGTGACCCTGGGCAAGCCACTTAACCCTGTTTGCCTCAGTTTCCCCATCTGGAAAATGAGCTGGAGAAGGAAATGCCAAGAAAAACTCAAATGGGATCACAAAGAATTGGTCACAACTCACACAAATAAACAATAAACTCTACTATCAGTTCACATACTTTGTTCAAAAAGTTATGAAATGTTGTCAAATGCCTTTATCCAAGTATAGTATTTCTATCTCATAACCTTGATTTATGAGTCTAGTAAGCCTGTCAAGGCAAATGAAGTTTGTTTGGCATGAAATTTTCTTGATGGACCCATACAGGTTCATTGCAATCATGATGGCTTCCCCTTTTTAGGTGCCCACAGATAATCCCTTTAATATTTTCTAGAGTATTCCTCTCTGTAATCTCCTCCTTGCTCCCTGGATCTTTTTCTCTCTATTTTTAAAAAAATATAATTTTATTTTTAGCTCCAAATTCTCTTCCTTCCCAAGATGTCCTGGAAGTCCTTGAAGATGTATAATAGTGACTGCTATGATCTAACATCACAAAGTATAAATTTGATTTGCTTTCTCTTTGGATTTGATAAACACTGTGTTCTTAATTTGTAACTTAAAGCAAACCCTATGGTAAGAGGTAATTTCTAGAACCTTCTGAAAGCATCGCTGTAAGAGTAAATAATATCCAGATTTCTTAACCAAATAGTTGGTTATCTGGCAATTGAGCCCCGAACAACAAACTAACAAAAACATTGTTTGTAATAGATGATGACTAAATACAATGTTCAATGACTCCATTTATTTGCCCCAACAATATGGTGCCTTGGACTTGGATCAATTTCTAATAGATGTTAGTATTGGTACAGAGTTTTGTTTTGTTTTCACTGAACCTCATTTATTGCTGAACCTTCGATTATCAGAGGTAATAGAACCCTTTATGTGTGTGTGTGTGTGTGTGTGTTGCTTTTCAGTGAGGAATTGATTATATATTCCAGAGTTGGGATATGTGCTAAACCAGTTCTACATGTAATGGATCTGTTGGAATAAATATTTAAATAAGAAGTTCAGAGAGTTTATCATTATAGCAGGATATTGAGATTAGTGCTTATGACAGATAAAAAGTTTTCAGTCTAGGAAAACTATTGAGATTAGCCTGGTTGTCTTCAGGTGGAGTTACTGAATGTTTCTTTTCTTACCACTCCCCCCCCTCCATCTCCTACCATTAGTCCGGAATGAAGTTGGAAACAGGTAGTTCCTGGGTGTTTTTCACCCCCGTGTGAATTGGATTTTCTTTGTATAAAGAGAGACGGAGAGAGAGAGAAACCTTGAATGATTTTTGCTTTTCATTATGGAAATGAATGCATGTTCCCTGAAAAGTCACACCTGATAGCCTTTTCTTCATCAGTATTTAAGTTCTAAAGTTTAATGCTAGCTGCACTTCTGCTGAGTTTGAAGGCCATGCTCAGCGTATTCAAATGTAAGGAGTGTTGGTGGAATCTTTGTTTTTCCTTATTTCCTCAAGTGTCTCGGGATTAATAGTAAAGAGCAGTCCTGCTCTGCTTTCCTTTTCTAGTTCCGCCTCCACCCCCACCATCTTTTTCAAAATACCCCAGATAATAGCAGTGGCTCTCTTAACCTTGACTCTCTGTGTATAAGCCCATTTGCAGCAAAATGAGTACTCAGTCCCAGAAAAAAAAAATTCCTCTAGCCTGGTGTTTTGTACAGCACGTACATACTGATCCTAGGCTATGAAGAGATTTATGGCTGTACAGAATCTTCCCACATTTACTTATTTCTATCATAGGTACATCAAAGCTTTGACTTAGATAAAATCACTCTTTTGAAAAGGACCTTGAGTCTGAAGGTTCTAAAACCCTAGGATGGCCACTGGCATACAGAAATTTCTACAGGACAGGGAGTCTAAAATTTGTAGTTTTAAAGATGGAATGCCATACTGAGACTTCAGTGGGGGATATATACACAAACAGGTTCTGACAACTTCTGACTATTTTGAATAAAACTATCTTGAAAGTCTTAATCTGGGGCCCACGGCTTCCCAACAGGTCCATGGATAAATTTCAGGGAGTCTATGGACTTGGACAGGGGGAAAATCACATCTTTATTTTTCACTAACTTCTAAACTGGAATTTTGCATTTCCTTCAATTATTAAAAAAAAATTATTATTCTAAGAAGGTGGGGGTCCAGGATACCAAAAAAGAAAGTTAAGAACTCCTGGTCTAAGTGATTTTTTTTTAAAGGACTCTTCAATAGCTCATTTTCCCTTGAAGATCTGGCAGTGTTGATTGATATGCATCATGAAATTAGGTGACTGAATGGAAGACAAGAAGAAGGGCTGGGCTTGACCTTGGAGGGTAGCAGCAGACTTTAGGGAGGGAAGGCACCCTTTAAAAGTTTTATTGATGCTTCTTTTTCCTAAATAGCGGTTACTTTTCAATTTCACCCTCCTCCTGCTAGAGCCCTCAATCTTAACAAAGAAAAATAATCAAAATAAAGACCAACTCATAAAGCAACTGCTGCTGCCAAATCCCCCACTCACAGCCCAACATCTCTACCTGAGGAAGGATGTTTGGTTCATCGTCACTGGCACCCTGAAGACTAGTCAGAGAAAGACTAAGTAAAGACCAGTGGATGGCCAAACTGGGCTCTTCCAAGAGGGAGCACTGTGTGCTGGGTTTGGAGGCAGGGGATAATTTCAGGTCTTAGCTCTGTCACCTGGGCAAGTCACTTCATCTCTGTAGGCCTTATTTTTCTCATCTGTAAAATGAGAAAGGTGGATAAACTGCCTCTAGGATGCCTTCAAGTTCTAGATTTGTTATCCTGATTCAGTCCTTTCAACATAAGGGACCCAGTCACTCAGCCTACTGTTATAGGCAGCAACCAACCGCAGGAAGGAAGTTAGCTAATTGCAGAGCAAGTCCTAGAGCTATGGCAAAAGTTTTTCCCAATTATCCTTGGGGGATTGTTTAACTGGGGTTGGCATTGATTGGACAACCACGAGCCTCTGGACCTTCAGGAATTTCTTTTTTCACTTTCAGCTTAGCAGCAAAGTGCAATGTGTCACCTTCGAGTAACAATATCCTGGATCAAGGGGTCAGAGCTAAAGTAGGATTGGTGTGGCAGACAGCCATTCTAATGTGCTGATAAGGAAGGGAGCCACAAAGGTTAGGAGTGAGTTTTGGGGGGAGGGGGAGAGGGGAAAAAGGGGAGTAGAAGTAGGAGAGATGGAAACAAAGATTTACAGAGTTAAAACAAAAGGCTTGAGAAGAATTTATTAACCCTTAGACAAACTTATTGCAAAAAAAGGAAAAGCAGAAATTGTACCAAACTCTTTCTATAGGACAAAAGTAGTCCTAATACCTAAACCAGGGAGAGGCAAAGAAAATTATAGATCAATATCTTTAAAGAATATTGATGTGAAAATATTAGCAAAAATATTACAACATATTAAAAGGATTAGGCCAGATTAGATTTATGCCAGGGATACAGGGTTAATTCACTATTATGAAAACTATAAACTTAAGACCACATATTAATAACAAGAACAATAAAAATCATGATTCTTTCAACTGATAGAAGAAAAAGCTTTTGACAAAATACAGCATTCCTTTGTGTGAAAAATATTAAGCAGCATAGGAATGAATGGACCTTTCCTTAATATGGCAAAAAAACACCTATCTAAAACCAAGAGCTAACATTATTTGTAATAGAGGAAAGCTAGATGTCTTTTAAGTAAGATCAGGGATAAAGTAAGGATGTCCATTTCATCATTATTATTTGATAAGAGTGACAGAAACGCTAGAATTAATAAGAAAAAGAAATTGAAGGAATAAGGATAGGCAAAGAGGAAACAAAATTATCAGTTTTTGCAGGTGGTATAATGGTTTACTCACAGAACCTCAGAGAGTCAATTAAAAACTAATTGAAACAACAATTTCAGCAAAGTAGGATACAAAACAAACCCATAAGAATTATCATCCTTTCTGTACATTACAAAATCCAGCAGAGACAGAAAAAGAAATTTAATTTAAAATAGTTACACGTATGAATTATCTGGAAGTTCATCCATCAAAACAGGAATTGCATGATTACAGCTACAAAAACTCTATAGAAATAAAGACAGAACTAAATGATTGGAGAAATATTGGACAATGTCAATACAGTAAAAGCAAGTTATCTAAATTAATTTATAGATTCAGTGCCATACCAAATTACTAAAGAGTTACTATATTGACCTAGAAATTCTATTAACAACATTAATCTGAAGGAATAAAATGTTGAGAATGTTAAGGGAAACAGTAGGAAAAAGAGGTGGGAGAATGGGGACCCCCCAGTACCAACTCTTAAACCATACTACAAAGCAGTAATCAATCATCATTGCTCTTTGGTACTGGTTAAAAAAAAACCAGAAAAGTTCGTCAGGGGAAGAGGTTAACTATATGAGAGCCAGAAGCACACAAGTATGAACAGTATAAAGTTGGTAAGCCCAAGGATCCAACTTCTGCACTAAGACCTCACTACTGGACAAAAAAATGGTCAAAAAATTGGATAGCAGTCTTTCAGAAACGAAGTTTAGACTAACATCTCACATAGTATAACCCAATAAACTCCAAATGAACATGACTTAAATATAAAAAGCTGAATCATAAACAAACTGGAGGGAGCAGGAGTGAGATATTCTCAAAACTGATAAGGGAAGTGAGTCTCAACCAAACAAGGGTCTGGTTAAGAAGAAGAGAGAAGCTAAAATAGACAATCCTGATTACATAAAATTGAAATTTTTTTTTACAAATAAGATAAATGACATTAGAAGGGAAAGTTAACTGGGAGAAAAGTCTTTGCTGCAAACTTCTGTAACAAAGGTCTGATAACCAAGATATCTAAGAAATTGATACAAATAAAAAAGAGCTATTTTGCACAAAAAACACGGGCAATGAATATGAACAGATAATTTTCAAGGGAAGAAAGACAAGTTATTAACAATATGGAAAAAATTACAAATCACTGAGTTATGTGAAGTAAAATATCTCTTGTTTCACCTCACACCCACTGGATCAGCAAAGATGACAAAAAAGGAAAATGACAATTGTTGAAGGGGCTCTGGGAGGATATATGTACTAGTATACACTATTGGTAGAGCTAAATGATCCAATAATTTTTGAAAGCAATTTGAAACTATACTGGGAAAACCTGTGTAACCTTTGACTTAGCAATATTACTACTAGGCTTATACCACCTACCAAAAGGGGGAAACTATCCATATGCCCCAAAATATTAATTGCAGAAATTTTTGTTGTAGTAAATAGTTGGAAACAAATTGGGTGCTCATTTAACGAAGTAAATGGCTGAACAAATTAAGGTATATGAAAGCAGTGGAATATTATACCATAAAAAATAAAGAGATAGAGTCACAGAAACCTGGGAATTATATGAATGGGTGCCGAATGAAATGAACAGAACCAAAACAATACAATGACTTAAACACTGTAAAGGAAATCAACTGTACAAGCCTTGGTCAATGCAATGGCTAATGATAATGCCATTAATCTAATAAAGAATCATGTCTTTCACCAAATTGATGGACTATAGGTACAAAATGAGACATTCATTTTCAGACATGACCAATGTGTGGATCTTTTTTTTTTTCATTACACTTATTACAAAGATAGGACTTTTAGTTTGAGGAGGAGGAGTTAGAAGGGAAGTGTGGGGGTTGTGGTAATGATACTAAAAAGGAAATGAAAAAGAAATAAAACAGCATCAGTGAATCTCTGAAAAATAAACAGGAGAGATCACAGGTAAGTTCAGAAGGAGATATAGGTAAGTGTTAGAACTATGGTATTAAATCTGAAATATATCTTTAAAATTTATGCTGTACCCAGTAGAGATTGGTTTAACATGCAGTCCTCTTTTAATGTTTATACATGAAAATGTTTTACATGTCCTAATGTTTGTACATGAAAATATTCATATTTGTTAAGTTTATAATAATAAAAAGGAAAGAAAAAAAAAGGGGGGGGGAGACAAGTTCTTCATGTCTCGCCTGATATCCTTCTCTATACTCACAAATCCTACATTGCAACAAGTTAAGGCCCCAGATGAGCTGATGTCTAAATTTCCCAGAACTCTGTATTTTTAGATTCACTCATCCGGGCACTCAGGATTTATCTTCAAATCCCAGGCTCATCCTATACCTGATTTAATGCAGATATTTTGGTGTTATATCTCGTATTAACTACATAATCACTTAACTGATTAATTTCCCCTTTCTCTGCCCAAAGTCGGGGATGGAATGGAAAAAAACAAACACCAACTTATCAGAATCATTTAACATGACACAGGTCACCCCTAAAGTTGACAACAAATACCATATTTCACCACATAATTATCGCACCCTGTTTTTTCAGTCCCAAGATTGGTTTGTAACCTTTCATCGCAAAGTCGTCACATGGTATGATTCTGTTCGCCACACCATTTCACAGGTAAACAGAGCAGCAACGTATTCACCAGTGGCACATGGATACACATTTATCTCTCACGTATTGCAAGCTGCAAGCCTAGAATTTTAGCACACACACATTGTTAATATTCAATTTTAATGTACATTCACGAGTATTCCATCCATCCTAATCTTGCACCAAAGACAGTTTGGTGATAAATGATTTTAAAGTAATACCGGCACAATTTTTTAAAAGCTTCACATAATGGTTGCACTCCACTTTTTGGCAAAAAATTTGGCATAAAATGTGGTGAAATACAGTATCTCTTCCTTTAGAGTAATACTAATAATTACACGTACAGAGTTTTAAGATTGCAAAGGACAAAAGTTACCAGGTGATATACCATAAGATGGGCAGTGAAAGCTAACTAGATGAAGATCCAGACACTTAGAAAGTACCACAATTTACTAGTGAACAAAAAAAAAAGCATCCCAAATCCAACATTCTATAAAGTTATTTTATTTGATAAACAGATATATACACATAAGACCGATGTGGGAAAGCATATAAAAGATTAATGAAAAAAAATCTAACACACAAAGAAGGGGGATGAAATAAATCCTTTCCTAGAGAACCAGAGCTTCTTATAAAAAAGAGAAAGCTGTAACAAGGAATTTTAAATCCTGTAATGACATCAAGTCTTTGCTGCAGAAGGCTGACGTCATCCCGAGAAGGGGAATTCTGTACGTTTCTCTTTGGTGCTGAGGAAACAACAGCCCCACATTCACTGCAGTCTCATTCGTTTCTCAGGGGGACATTTAGTGCTGGTTGTCTGCTGGACATTTTTGGGGGTCTCTTTTTCCTCTGCTTTTATCGCTTCAGGTGTAGGTTCTGGCTCCTTCTTGGTCTGATCCACTAATAACAAAAACACCATGCTGAGGATAAGGTTAAATTTTTAAAAATTCCTTCTAAAAATATCAATCACAAATAATTCTTTTTTTTGGGGGGGGATGGTATTTTAGGATCCATTTAAATTCCCCAAATACTGAGATCCTGCCCTCCTACTTTTAGCGCTTATGATCTAAAGTATGACACAGTCAGAAAGAAAGAATTCTTTGAACGTTCTTCTGAGACCAACTGTTCTTTAAAGACAAAAAGATGTATCATTTTTTTCTGACTTCAAGTTCTATTCTTTCACTCGGATCTTTCAATAAGTCCTATAGAGTTCAATGAAAAATAGAGCACTTTCAAATGCACATACACACATCATATTACGTGTTGCAAATATAATGCATTACATAGACAATGCATTTTTATATGTATGTTTATGTGCTTACGTGGGTGTGTGTGTGTGTGTGTGTGTGTGCGCGTACACACACGCACACACAAATAAAAATCTCATAGACAAAATATCTATAATTCACTTTGCAGGCACCAATCTCTCTACCATGAAAGAACTGTTTGAAATGCTTCAGTGTCACTTTCTTGAAATTTAGAAGGCTTTACAGGTAGGAAACAAACAAACAAAAAAAGGCAGTAAATCTAGGAGGCAAAGTAACTAGTTCACTCTATTCATACAGCCTACAGTCTACCATGTCTACCACCAAAAAAATCTATTAATGAATGAGGTTACTTTTGCCCTAAACAACCTATTATTTTTATTTCCAATTTGCTAAGAATGTTAGATGTCCATACCTGGGACAGGCTTTTCTCCAGGCTTTTGCTGCAACAAGAGAAAGAGGCAATTTATTAATAACAACTCATTTATATTACACTTTAAGATTTACCCAGACCTCCTTTTTTCTTTCTTTCTTTCTTTTTTTTTTTTAAGTAAAGGGTTCAGGCTTTTTTTTTTTAGACCAGGAGGGAAATATTGAACAGGACTATAGAAAGGAAATACACCCCCACCTAACCCCCCCCCGCTACACACACACACACAGGGAGAGAGGGCAATCAGACTTCTTTTTTCAGGAAGTCTTTTCCAATCCCTTTTAATTTTAGTGCCTTCCCTTTGTTAATTATTTCCTATTTATCCTGTGTATATATATATATGTTGTTCGTATAATTTGCCTGTTGTTTCTCCCATTAGATTCTAAGTTCTTTGAGGGCAGGGACTGTCTTTTAACTCTTTTTGTATCCCCAGTGCTTATAAGGCACAGTGATTGAATGCACAGAATAGGTGCACAATAAACTGACTGATTCTCACAACCATCCTAGGAGGTGCAGAGTACAAACATTATTATCCTTATTTTACAGATAAGTAAACAAAGCATCAGAGGTTAAGTGAGCTAATCACAGACCTAGAAAGAGTCAAAGCAGGGATTTGAACATGGGTATCCTGGTCCCAGTCCAGTGCTCTATCTACTATACTATGCTATTTTTTTTCTTCTTGTTTTTGCTTTTATAGAACTTTAAAAAATTATAACAAAATTTAAATAAGCTATAATGGTCTCAATGATACTCATTCAACACTGTTGGAATGCCTCAAAGCAAAATTTTCATCTTCCTCTAACACACTTTTCTTCATTAATACTAAATCCTTCCATCCCCTCATATCTGACAAAAAACTTAAAAGGTAAATTAGAGCAGAATTGTCAAACATCAAATTCACTGCACCACAAATAATCCCAACCCAACCTGAATATACCTAATAAAAGCCTCGTTCTACTGACAACAGTCTTACTCAAAGCAGTGGAGGAAATAAAGTGGAAGGGAATTATGGAGACCAAGAAGATTCTCAAGGTATTCCTGATCAGAAGTGATGAAGTAGACAAGAGTCTACTCTCATCTACAACGATCTAAGGACATCACTCATTTGGTAAATATTTAGTAAGTACCATGTAGAATACATGGTGCTAGATGATGAAGAAGACACATAGATAAATAAGATACAGTCCCTGGGTCCAAAGATCTAATATCTCAGTAGAAGATAAAATACACCGGTGAGTATAAAACAAATTAGGAGATAGTGTATGCATATGAAGATCATAAAGTGTTATTTAATCAGATTAATTAGAAATCGCTTTGTGTGTATAAGGGTGTATGTGTGTGAGTGTGTGTGTGAGAGAGAGAGAGAGAGTGAGAGTGAGACAGAGACAGAGACAGAGACAGACAGACAGACAGACAGACAGAGGTTGGAGGTGGAGCTTAGGGAAGACTTCAAGGAAGTAGTGGACCTTGAATAACAAATTAAAGAGTTTGTTTTCTTTGGTAAACATAAGGAAGCCACTGAAATTGTCTGGGGGTGAAATAACTTGACTACACTTGTGCACTGGTGAAAATCAACTTAATAGCTGTATGAAGGATAGGTTGAGTAAGAGGGACATGGGAGGAGTGAAAGACAAGAGGTCAGTACATCAGTCCAATAAAGAATTACTTAAGGCCTGACCTAAGCAGTGGGAGTGGAAAGGAGGAAACAGAATAAGAGACAGTGAAAAAGGCCTCATGATTTTATAAAATTCAGATATCTCCACTGACATGTGAGCACCAACTTACTCTTCTCTAGCCTTATCTCACATTGTCTCCACATACTCTAGACTCGAGCCAAACTGGATTATTCCTAGACCTCTGAACATGAACTCATGTCCCAAATTCACTCATGCAGTTCCCTATCTCCTTTTACCTACCAAATAAAAGTTCCAAGTCTTTAGCTTGGCATTCAAGGCCCTCTATAATTTAATTTCATCTTTTCTTTTCAAACTTACCTCATATGAATTCTCTTCCAAACTGTACTTCTTACTTCCTGAATTTGTCCTGCCCTCCTTTGCCTTGTTTTGTGTTCTATCTCTCTCCCCTCTTTGCCACTACCTTCTACCTCCAATTCTACCAATATCTGTAATGTGTCTCCCACCTCTCTTGGTTGCAAACATTCCCATTCAGATGCTACCTTCTCCTTAAAGTCTTCCCTGACCTTCCCTCAGGTTAAGTAAGCTTTCCCTCACTGGATCTCATAGAATTCTGTACCTCGCCTATGTACTAATTTTCTAAGTAATTCTAAATAAGGGTAGAAATGGTGTCTCATTCATTTTTGTATTCTTAAATCATAGCCCGAGTGCCCTGCACATAGCAGGTACTTAATAAATGTTTCTTGAATTGAACTTCTGAGAAGAAGCTGGAATGATCCTCAAGTATACTACTCCAAAGTGGAGCAGCTCTTGAGGAGAACTCTCTACAACTCTCAAAGCTGTAGCAGAAAATGAAGAACTAGGAGGCTTCTGATAACTGTATTTCTGAAGACAAAAAGTACAATGATGGAGGTGAAGAAAAGTTCTGGGCCAACCACATCTTATTACCTTTCTTGAAAACCTGTCTGTGCCTTCCTGGCATTGGGCTGGTGAACACATGATGTCTACATAAACCCTTCTTGATCCCTCTTCCCCACACACAGATATTAGTACCATACTTCACCCCTTACCCAATTACACTGTATTTAATTTGTATATGCTTATATAGTGCATCTGGTTCACACTGTTAAGACTGTAAGCTCTCTAAGGGCAGACATTATTTTGCTTTTGACTTTGTATCTTCCATGCCCAGCACAATGCTTAGCACAAAATATATGACTCACACATGCTTCTTAGTGGAACACAGAATTCCTATTAATTCTATTATTCCTCTTTAAGGGTCTTTTCTGTACTATATATCCATCTCCAGGGATGGGGAACCTCTGCCCTTGCGGCCGAGTGTAGCCTTCTAGGTCCTTGGGGGTGGTCTTTTGACCAAGTCCCAAGTTTTCCAGAACAAATCCTTTTATTGGGGATTTATTCTGTGAAGTTTGGATTCAGTCAAAGGGCTGCACTTGAGGACTAGAGGCCCCATGTGGCCTTGAGGCCAAAGGCTCCCCACCCCTGAATTCTACACCCTTACTCTTCTCCCTGTCAACTGTGTTGCTCTGACAACCTGCTCACCATTCCTATCACACAATCATCCATTTCCTGACTCCTATTTCCCTACAAATAACCTATACCTAGAATGCTCTCTTCCTAAACTTCAAAATTTCTATCCTTTCTATAATTCTAAGAGAATATGAAATGCCATTTCCTCCATAAAACTTTCAATCTTCCCATCAACTTTGGATTCCTTTTGTGGATCCAGTATGTATATTGTTTTCAGTCCTTTCCTCTAAACAAATCATGTGAAACAAATATAACATACATTTTTAAAAATAAGCTCACCAGACACAATGGATGCTTAGGTCTTCCAGACTTCATTTTTAAAATTTAACTATCAGCACAAATTATTACCTGAACAAATTTGGGTGGAAATTTCTGTCGCAGATCTAGGAGTAAAGCATCCACACGCTGCCTCTGAAAAATAGAACTTGGTTCTTCTTTTCTCTTGGCTTTAGGTTTGGCTTTATCTGTAACATAAAAAGTCCAAGATAAATCACCACAATCAAAAAGGATACAGTACCTTGTATTCTTCATTTATCAACTAAATATCATTTTGTGGCTGCTCAGTCTAACACCAAACATAGTTCTAAGCTTTCTTCTTACAATAAGGAGTTCTAATAGCAACAGTATTTAAATCAATCTATATGGAAAAGCAAAAATAGACATCAATTATCCATAACACAATTCAAAAGCTTAGTGAAGTTGCTCAATGTGCAAAGTAAGTTTGAAGTACTCAATGATATCTCATATACAATACCAATTCTAATCTATTGAAAAGGATGGACCTGGATGGCAGAACCAAGAATATCACTGGGGGAGAAGACTGTCAAAGAACTGTCTTTCCTTCCCTCTACTATTCATCTTCCCCCTCAAACTCTCTCTTGATCTTCCTTCCCCTCTCTGCCCTATCTCCCACCCAAACTCTCCATCTTCTCTTTCTCTCTCTTAATTGGCTGTAACATAAAACTGAAATATATTTTTTTCTTGAATTTATAGCAAAGCTTTATATTCCTTTCTCTCAATTTTAAGAGTGGGTTCACTTTTAAAAAATTTCACCTAACAACAAAAACACTGTTAATTTTGAGTCAATTTTCTCACACACACACTCACTCCAAGTCCCTTCCGTGGATGCATTCAAAGGTGAAAAGTGTCCTTAATGTGGTTTATACCAGGTCATTAAATGATATGTATGTGAGAGAACTGAAGGGATTAGGACAGCAAGTGGTTAACTGTGGGAATTGAGTGAACCACATCTGATTCCTTGTGACTCAATTCTGGAGCTAGCTCAGTTCCATTTCTATTCAATTCTGGGAACTGGGAGAAAACTTTATTGGATTGTTTAACCTATCCCTGCATGGCTGGGAAACTGGACCACCTCTTCCTGCTGCTTGGAAATCCTTACCCAGTGACCTAGGTCAGGGGTGGGGACCTGCGGCCTCGAGGCCATATGTGGCCCTCTAGGTCCTTGGGTATGGCCTTTTGACTGAGTCCAAGTTTTACAGAACAAATCCTTTTATTAAGAGGATTTGTTCTGTGAAGGTTGGATTCGTCAAAGGAACACACTTAAGGACCTAGAGAGCGACATGTGGCTTTGAAGCCACTGGTTCTCCACCTATCCTAGGTTACTGACCAGAAACCCAGTCAAATCCAAAGACTGATGCAAGGAGTTTTAGCACAATTGTACATGTCAAGTAACCCGTATGTCTTATCTGAAAACTAGTCCTATACCGATCATTGTTGTTGCCATGTTCCTTTGACTGTTGGGGGAAATGGAACACCTGAATTCAGGGAATTGTACCTATTCGCTCTCCCCATCCCAACCTGGAAAGTCCCTAACCTTCCCTCCAATCAGAAATAAGATTACTTACTGTTGTATGGTTTCCTTGTAATTAACTGGCCGTATCTGATTGTTTTTAATGTATAAAAGTCTGTCTCCTCCTATATTTGGAGCCTAGCCCTAGGCTGAGGAGGTCTGGTCCCAGTTTGTTGGGCAACTGGCATGCACTGCTAATAAATCAACATGCTCAGATCAAACCTTTGTTTTCTCAGTCATTTCCTCTTTCACCTGCCTCATATTTTCTGGGCTGAAAGAGGAAATGTGAGATAAAAATTCTGTTTGTGGATAAATCCCCTATTTGTCTCCTTGATTTTTTTTTTGTGCTTTTCTCCTGACCCCTCTACCACTTTGCCTTTCGTTCCCAATCTCTGGACCTAATCAGCACAAGCTCAAGCCTCCAAAAAGTATCTTTAAGATCTCCTTTCACAGAGTGAATCAAACCACATTTGAAATGATAGAAACTACTATTCCCATGGATTAAACTAGTTCTTTCATCAGTTTCAGCTGCAATCACTTTTTTTAACTCTGTAAATACTTCTCCATAGAATGGGAAAGACATGTTAGAAAGTATCCCTTATTCTCCATTATTCTCAAAGACACAGCCTTTGCATCTTTTGCACAAACTCTCCTTAAAAAGCCTCGGGTGTCCTACCTTGTTCTTCCTGATCTTTGAAGTGCCACCAGTAGCCCTTGGAAGGGTGGTAACGACAATATGACATAGCTTCATCAAAAGCTGACTGAATTCCATGCACAGCTGTGAGCTTGCAAAAGAAGGAAATTTTGAGTTTTTCACTGGGTGAAAAACTACAAGAATAAATAACCAAAAAATAATGCTTTTCTTGCAAGTACAATATTTTCTGTGGCTCACATGTGGCTATGCTTGTAGTATACAAGTTTAGAAATAACTCAGAACATAGTTATCCCTGGTCAACACGGAGTTCAGATTTCAAATGCAAATATTCTTAGACAAGTTTGTCAGAGAGGGAAAATCCTAATTTAACACTTACAGAGGGTTCCACTCACTGGTTCCCTTTTCTGACCACTCACCCCCCCACACTCACCCCGAACCCAAACCCTTACTAAAAGACACTTACCACTCTGGAGTTTATGACAGATCCCAAGTCAGGTGCCTGATAAATGACTCCAGCAATGATATAATAATCAGCTAATGGGATGACTGAAACAATAAAAAAGCATTTCTGAAATTTCAAGCCAGTAAATGTGTGACATTAGAAATAAATACAAATGGCTCAGTGTTCATCAATGGAGAAGAAAATTTTAGAACAGCAGAAATAGCTGGCTTGACAGAAATGAAATGTGGGGAGGTGCCCAAGTCAGTAACATGGAAATTAAGAATCAAGTTGTGGTAGATGAATGTAATGGAATACTACTGTGCTATAAGAAATGATGAGCAGGCCGACTTCAGGAGAACCTGGAAAGACTTGTATGGACTGATGCTGAATGAAGTGAGCAGAACCAGGAGAATGCCGCACACAATAACAGTCACATTGTGTGATGACTAACTTTGATAGACTTAGTCCTTCTCAGCAATACAAGGATCTAAGACATCTCCAAATGCCTCATGATGGAAAATGCCATCCACAAAGAAGAAGGAACTATGGAGTTTGAACGCAGATTGAAACATAGTATCTTCTTCTGTTGCGTTTTGTCTCCTCTTTCTGGTGGTTCCTCCTATTGGTTCTAATTCTTCCTTACAACATAACTAATGTGAAAATATGTTTTACAGGAATGCATACGTAGAGCCTACATCAGATTGCACACTGTCTTGGGAAGTGAGGTGGGGAAGGAGGGGAGAAGAATTTAAAACTCAGCATATGGAAGTGATTGTTGAAAACTAAAAATGAAAAAAAAAGGAAAAAGAGAAATTAAGAATCAAATGGTCAGACTTTTGGCATCCCTTTAGAGGAGCTAGAATGTACTTTTTAAAAAAACCTTATTTAACATTTTATTTTTTCCCAATTTTAACATTCTTTCTCCCCACCCCCAAATTTTGAGTTCCAAATTCTCTCCCTCCCTTCCCCCTTTCTCTCCCCCATGGAAAAGGCAAGCAATTTGACATAGTTATACATGTGGAGTCATGCAAAACACATTTTCATGCAAGTCATTCTGGGAAAGAAAACACAGACCAAAAGAATAAGAAAAATAAAGAAAGTAAAGAAAAAGTATCGTTGATCTGCATTCAGGCTCTACCAGTTCGTTCTCTGGAGATGGACAACACTTTTCATCCTAAGTCCTACAGAACTGCCTTGGACCATTGTATTGCTGAGAATAATAGCTAAGTGACTCACGGCAGATCAGCACATGATATTGCTGTTACTCTGTACAGTGCTCTCTTGGTTCTGCTCATTTCACTTTGCATAAGGTCATGTAAGTCTTTCCATGTTTTTCTGAGAGCATCCTGCTCATCATTTCCTAAGGCACAATAGCATTCCATCACAATTTTATGCAACAACTTGTTCAGCCACTCCCTAAGTGATGGACATCCCCTCAATTTCCAACTCTTTGCCACCACTAAAAAAGCTGCTATCAATATTTTTGTACACATAGGTCCTTTTCCTTCTTGTTTTTTATCTCTTTGGGATACAGACCCTAGCAGTGGTATTGCTTGGTCAAAGGATATGTATGATTTTATAGTCTGGACATAGTTCCAATTGCTCTCCAGAATGGCTGAATCAGTATACAACATCACCAAGAGTACATTAGTGTTTTAATTTTCCCGCATCCCCTCCAACATTTGTCATTTTCCTTTCCTGTCATATTAGCCAATCTGACAGGTGTGAGGTAGTAGCTCAGAGTTCCTTTAATTTGCATTTCTCTCATCAATAGTGACTTAGAGCATTTTTTTTCATATGACTATAGACAGCTTTGATTACTTTGTCTGAAAACTGCCTGTTCATCTCTTTTGACCACTTATTAATTGAGGAATGGCTCTTACAGAATGTACTTCTAAGAGATCAGTTTCTGGGAGAGTAGGCCAGACCATTGCCATATAAAGAAAAATACATCATAAAAGTCTTTGTGCAGTTGTAAGACTTCTGAGACACCGCATAGCCAGCTGGTGCTCAGTAAACAGTTATTGCTACTTTTCTGTAGTCCTTTCCCTGCAGCAAACTGTTTCCCTCATTAGATCTTCTCTCCACTACCTTTTACAGTTTGTCACAGCAGCCTTCCCAGCCAGGGGATGGCCCATTAGCCACCATCACTATCATACTGAGCCATAACCATCTACACCTCCTGGATAGCAGCACCTTCCACCCTTCTTCAGCTCCTTTTCATGTTAAAATGTAAGTTCCTTGAGGGCAGGGACTTTCTCATCTGCTTGTATATTTATCCCCAACATGGAGCACACTTGGTGGCATACAGTAAGCACTTAATAAATGTTCTACCTACAATATCTAATATCTGTTAATCAGGTGCTATGATGAATAAACATATATAACAAGTATAATGTATCAGTAATATTTGTAAGTTTAATGAAGCCCAAAAGAATGATTCACGAGTTCTGAAACGGCCCTTCAACAATTCCAAGTGAATTGCCCTATGCTAAGCTAGGGCAAATGCAAACTGGCAGACAGACTGCAAGGGACATTATGCTTGAAGTCTGACTCCCTCCCAGATGCTGGAGACTCTTCACTGACATTCAAACAACCACAGCCTCCAGATATGGGCATTTCATGCCCTGTCCCCAATATATCTTCCCAGTCACATCTCCTGCTACTGCCCCTTTCAAATACACACACTTCCAGAAAACAAACTGGGCCTGCCCTCTGCTCCCTCTTCTCAAGCACCTATTCCTCTCTAACCTCATGTTCATGAAGCAAGGAATGTCAGGCATAGATCTGCACATCTGGGTCCCCATCTGCTGAACTATTTAAAGGTCAACCTAAGTGCCACCCCCTACAGGAAGACTTCTATCATATCTCTCCAGGGAAAGTCATCTGGTCTCTTCAGATTTCTCATAGCTCTCTGACTGGATCTTCCCTTTTCATTGACATCACTGTTCATTAATAGTTATTTGTATATAAAGTATCTCACTCCACCACCTACCCCTATATGGCCAGATGTTATAACCATTTCCATGACTCCAACATCTAGTATACAGTGGGCATTCAATAAGAAGACAGAATCTGTGGGCTTGAAAGAGACTTCTGAGATTATCTAGAACAATACTCTCATTTTACAGGAAATGAGAAGAGAATAAGAACTTAATGGGGAGATAAGATCTTAGTAATCAAAAAGGAAAAAAATCAAATCATAGAAATATCAAAATGACCTATTAGTTTCTGAGATCTGGCTGAAATTCCATGACAGGCTCAGCATTTACCAGGCATATACATGAAGGAGGTCAATGACGAAAAGAAGGCTCCATCTACACTAAAATAAAATGGTACTTTTTGTAAGTAGCAAAGAACTGGAAACAGCACAGGTGCCTATTGAATGGGGAATGGCTAAACAAGTTGTGGTATATGATGGTAATGAAATAGTACTATAATATAAAAAATTATGAATATGATCCATACAGAGATTCACGGGAAATGTATATGCAAAGTAAAGTAAGAAGAACCAGAAAAACAACATACACAATGACTACAAAAATGAAAATGAAGACAAGAACAAGGTAACCAAAACTGAATGGTATGAAATTCTAATAACCAAGCCTGATCTTAAAGGCAAAATATAAGAAATTACTATCCTTGCACCTTTCAAGAAGTACAGGATTATGAGTGTGCATCAGAGGAGGCAAAACTCCTGAATGTTGTCCAAACCAGATTAAAATGTAATTATGAAATGTTTAACAAAATAAATAAAAATGCATCATAGAGAATGCTAATTTCAGGTTTTCTAAGTCAATATGCCACCTGCAAAGATCTACCAGCACTGGTATAGACTACTACATACGATGGCAGGCTTGGTTGCTGTACTGGTTAGTTTTGCTGAACTGTTTTTTATTCCCTCTTTTTCAGTCTTTGTTATAAGGGATGATTTTCTGGGAGGGAAACACCAAGAATGTATACAATGTAATAACAAAAGATACAACAAAAATTTATTTTTAAAAGATTACAATAAGGGTAAAGGCAGATATAAATAAATAAATAAGGCATGTTCAAAGTGGCTGGAACATCATATTCCTATGTTTCTGTTAATAATGAAAGAGCCTGCAACATGGAAGATGACACTTCTAAAACCAATCAACACTAAAATCATGCTGAATTATTCCTCTGAGAATAATTAATACCTTATAGGCAATATTAGAATTTTCTTCTAATATTTAGCAGATATGGTGGTTCTCAGTATCACAAGCTAACTAATTAAGGTTTACTGGAGTTTGCTCTCAAACTGAGAACACAAAATCTGATAACAATTTTAGATTTTTTTTTTTACCAACTAAACCAATATTCAAAAAACATGTCCTTCACTACAAGAAAGATATGTTACACAACATAAACATCATTTGCATCTATAAGCAAATACTTATTCCTTGCACAGTTAGCATTTTGCCACTAGAGAGCAACCTCTGTTCTTTCTGAAGAAAGCACATGCATGGGATATAATTTTAGGAAAATAAAAAATATTATTGATGGAACTTCCCAAGAATCTAAAAGTGATTACAATGTTTAAAAAAAGAACCTGGAAGTCAGAGCACAAGGAATGCGTGGGTCTTTGAAAAGAAAAAATGGCCTGAAGTGTATGTAACTCACCTTGTGTAGAGGACTGTCGCTGTTGCTTCCTAATGATAAAAAGAATGGGCTCTTGGGCATGCAAAAGGATATACTCTACTCCAACCATCTGACTGAAAAACAAAATACTGGAAATCAAGAACTCTATAAAAGCTGTTTGAAAAATAACTTCATAAGGTTTTCAGTGTATTATAGAGTACAATAATTTCAATGATAGGACATTATTTATGAGCTATGAAAGACAACGAGCATAAAGGAAAACACTTCTGTGACTTGGTGGACCTATCATAGTTAAAAACTAGGGTTGGAATCCTAGATGATATTTCCTGATGAAGTCATCCTAAGATTTTAAAATGAAAAAAAGTTTCTGCTACAGAAATTCATTTTCAACTCACTGAAATTTATACAGAAAACAGCATCAATCAAAAAAGCGTAGCAAAATGGTGTGCAAAGTTTTAATCAGGAAAGCAATATATCAGAGATGCTGTAAGCAGTAGAATATAAACAAATGCAAACTAGGGATTCTATATTTTGTTCACCTGGAATTGAAAAATTTGCCCAAAGACCATAACAAATGTTTGATTATGATGGATTACATCGAAAATTACTAGTAAGTTGTTTATTACAAATAATTATTTATCTTATAAAATCAGTTTTAAAAAAATACCAAAATAAATGTACTTTTTGAACAGCCCTCATATTTACCTGGCAAATGAAAGAAACAACACGTTATTATATCTTTTAAGATTTAGGAAAATCTTACGGACCAGTAATAAAATGATAAGCTCCCTGACAGGTTTTATTTCTATCTCCAGCTCCTGACATACAGTAAAACAACTTATTTAAATAAATGCTTGTTCACTGACTAATGAAAGGAGGCACGGCATAGCAGATAAAGAAATACTAGGCAAACCACTTTACCTTTCAGTGCCCCAGGTAACTAGGCAACTAAGACTATACGGTGCAGAGCTGGTACCAATCTGCATTGGTAAAGGGAGTTTCCTACACCAATGAAATCACAGGCTTGACTCCCCATCTCAATCCTACCCAACTGCCCAAAAAAGAATTCTAAAAAAGCCTGCCTGTCTCTTTTTTCAATAGGTTAAAATGTATCTGTCTTTGGTCTCAAATGAAATGAAATCTTGTCCTGTACATTAAGTACTTGGACAAGCATACTTAAGACCTCAAACTAGCAAAGGTACAACTGGTACACCCTACGTTCGTTCCACTGTTAAAACACTCCCTTGCATCAAATTAACCAAACCTGCTGCCTACCAGATTATAGGCTTTAGAGCTGGACAGGCCTTTAGGGATCTAGTCCAATCACAGTTAATTTACACAGGAGGATATGAAGTTACTCCCCATTTTAACTGATGGCAACAAATTCATTTTATAGGCATACCCCGCATAACGTAGCTCCCAAAACAACACATTAATGTATCATAAACACACTGTCCCAATTTCCCAACAGTTGACACTCCTCTCCCCAACTTCCACCCTTGGTTTAGTGGAGAATGGTGAGTAGCCAGTCAGAAAACAGTTGCTGGGAGGGCCAGGAAGAGTTTTTATTATTCACTTAAATGAGAGAAGAGTTTCCAGGTAGATAAAGACTTATCTCTCTGTTCCTATTTTAGGTTTTATAGTCCAAATTTTTGGCTACCCAAGATTGAACATACCATTTCTAACACTGTTTGCAGGGAACTAACTAAATCCTATACTGTTTTCACTTAATGCTACGTTTCCATGGAAACAAACAGTCATATCATATAGGGTATATCTCTATAGGGAAATATCTATGTCCTAGTAAGATGTAAGACTCATATCCTTCCTGACTTCTATTTTGTAATTCATGAGGTACAGCTATGGCACAGCAGATCTGAACAGTCCTACTAATTGGCAACAGTACAGTGTTCTTAAAACAACTTACTTTAAATGCTCCAGTGTGAGTCTCTGCATTTTGACCACTTCATTATTACATGTCCGATCATAAAAAGGGTTACTTCGTTCAGAGAAATAGTCCAAGACACTACCACTGTTCAATATAGGGATCCAGGAACTGTCAACCCATGAAATTCCCAACAAGTTGTCTATGGAAGAGAAACAGAGAAAGGACAATAAGAGAAAAAGAAAGAAACATATCTAATAGCAAATTATGCATAATGATCAGCTTTCCTTCTCTCCTCTTCCTATCAAGTCATACTCATCCTCTCACCTCAAAAGAATGGAACAGTTAAAAAAAGGATATGGGTTGGTTTTTTTAAGTTTTTACTGATTTTTTAAAAAAATCATCATTTTTCCCAAGCAGACCTCCCCTTCAAGGGAGCCATCCCACATAAAAAAATAGCATTTTTTAAAAATAGAAAAAAGGAAAAAAATCAGCACAGCTGATCAATATAGTGAAAAATCCAAAAACAGGTGTAATATTTATCACCTGTTGACCTTCCACCTCCACAAATTAATCTCATAACATTTCTTTTGAGCCATACTTGTTCTTTATAATTTTGCAAAATTTACTTTTGGTGTGTGTGCATATGTTTATTCTTTCCATTTACACTGCTGTAATCATCATGTATGTTTTTTTCTTAGCTCTGTTTACTTCACTAAGTGTCAATCAAGTCATGTAGATCTTTCCATGCTTCTCTGTATTCAAAACATTCATCATTTCTTATAGCACAATAATATCTCATTATATTCGTGTACTGCTATTTGTATATTCCTGAACTGAGAGGCAAATACTTTGTTTTCAAATCTTTAATACCACAAAAAGTGCTACTATAAAAATTTTGGTGTATATGCAGACCTTATCAATAGCTTCCTTGGGGGAGAAGCCCAGTAACAGAATCTCTGAGTCAAAGGGCATGTACAGTTTAGTCATTTTATTTTCACAATTCACAAAATCCATAAACATTAAGTGCCTACTACGTGCCAGGCACTGTGCTAAGAATCCAGTCCCACCCCCACCCCTTAAGGGGTTTACTAATGAAGACAACATGCAAACAAACATATACAAAGCAAGCTATACACAAGATAAACAGGAAATAATTAACAGAGGGAAGGCACTTGAATTAAGAGGGGTTGGGGAAAGCTTCCAGTAAAATGTGGGATTTTAGTTGGGACTTAAAGGAAGCCAGGGAGGTTAGAAGTCAGAGCAGGGAAATCATTCAGGAATAATTTCAAATTGCTTTCTAAAATAATTATACCAGTTAACAGCTCCACCAAAAATTCATCACTGTGTTTATCTTGTCATAATCCCTTCAACATTGACTATTGCTATCTTCTGTCATCTCTGCCACTCTGTAAGGATGAAATGTCAGGGCTGGTTTTATTTGCATTTCTCTTGTTAGTGATTTGGCACATTCTTTCCTGTAGTATAAATATTTTGCAATTCTTTTGAGAACTGGCTGGTTTTTTTTTTCATATCCTCTGACTATCTACTAAGGAATGGCTATTGGTTTTATATCTATGTTTACTAATTGTTTATACAGTTTGGATACCAAACCCTTTTCAAAGAAATCCAATAGAATTTTCCCCCATTCAATTGCTTCCCTTTTTTATCCTAGGTGTATTAATTTTCTGTGCATTTACTTTCCAGTTCCACATAAAAGTTATCTATTTCATCTTATCTCTCTCATTTAGTTAAGAATATATCTCCTACCCATAGCTGTGAGGTGTATATTTTGCTTTTATTCTAATTTTTTATAGTATGATCTTCAATATTAAAGTCACAATAAGAAAATATACGACTATTGCATATTTTATCATCTCTTTCAATATGCTGAGGTTTTACCCCATATTAAACTACAATTTGCTTTCCTACTCTGGTACTGTCCTATGAGACAAAACCATAGCCCTCTACTCTGTCTTCTACATGACAGCCCTTCTTTCTTTAAGGAGCTTCTGATCCTTGCATAGCACAGTCTGCAGCCTCTCTCCTTTCCCCTCATCCTTACCACCCTCCTTTGAACCCATTCCAGTTTGTCAATGTCCCTCCTAAAATGGGATGCTCATAACTGAACTCAATAAATTAAATGTGGCTTAAGTAGAAAAGGGTAAAAGCAGAACTATCACCTCTTTTATTGTGAACATTATTGTCTCTATGCAACCCAGCAAGAGCTTTTTTTGGTTGTCATATATCACATTGACGACTTACACAAAGCTTACATTTTATTAAATCCTCAAATCTTTCTCACCCGAACACACTGTCTTGTACATATAACATGATTTTTTTTAATCCAACTGTAGGACTTCACATTTATCCCTATTAAATTTCATTAAATGAGATTTGGCCCATTTTTAAAATCAATCAAGATTAGCTAATCCTTTCAGTTTTATACCATCCACAAACTTAATGCCATCTATGCTTTCATCCAAGGCACAAATAAGAATGTGGAAAAAGAACTGGATCAAACTCATATCCCTGGGGTACTCCACTACAGGTTCTGTCCAATCTGTCTGGAAAGGATGCAAATCAACAGCAACAAACACGCTAACAAACACTCCACTACCATTCTAATGTGTTTCTTTAAAAGCTGAAATTTTACAGTGCTCCTAAATTCTTGGACTAACTCCTAGAACTAAAGCAAATTTCTAGAGTTCTGACATAGATGAAAGGAAAAAATGACCATTTCTTATATTCCATACATCCGGAGTTTGTATTTGGATTTCCCAATTTAGAAAGGAGGCTGATAAGCTTGAAAGCATCTAGAACAGTACAAATAAGATGGTAAAGGGCCTTGATTCTACAATCACTGAGGATCAGCGGAAGGAATTGGAGCTGCTTAGCCTCAAGAAAAGAAGACTAAATAGGGACATGATAGCTGTCTTCAAATATCTGAAGGGTTGTTATGAGAAATCAATCAGTCATTAAGCACCTTCTATGTGCTAGGCACTCGGCTAAAGGCTGGGATACAATGAAAGGCAAAACGCGATCTCTGCACTAGGGGCGTTCACAGTCTAATAAAGTAAACAATAAGCAAACACCTATGTACAAACAAGATACACTATATCGGATGAATTGGGGCTCATCTCAGAGGGAAGGTACTATTATTAAGGGGAACAGGGAATGGCTTCTTAGATGCTGGATTTTAGCCAAGACTTGGGAGAAAAGCTAGTGGGAAGCAGAGCTCAGGAAGGAGGGTTCCAGGCAGAAGGTGCAACCAGTGACATGAGAGGAGACGGGGTTTGTTGTTTGAGGAACAGCAAGGAGGCCAGTGTCATTGGATCAGGTAGTACATGGAGGATAGTAAGGTGAAAGAAGACTGGAAAATTAGGAGGGGACAGACTTGTCCTTCAGGGCACCAGTGTCACAGCTAAACAGGAGTTGGATGGAGCGAAGCCTTGAGGCAGGTAGACCAACCAGCAGGCTACTGCAATAGGTCAGGCATGAGGTGATCAGGCATGAGTGTCACCACACTAGGGTGGTGACAGTGTCAAAGAAGAGAAGGGAGTGTGTATGAGAGATACAATGAAGGTAGAAATTGGCAGGGTCTGACAAATGATTGAATATGGAATGAGAGAGAATGAGGAGTTGAATATAACACCTATATTGTGAGCCTGGGTAACCGGAAGGATGGCAGATTAGATTTGTTCTATGTGGCCCAAGATAACAAAACCGGGAGCAATGGATAGAAACTCCAAAATTTAGGGTTGCGGCAAGGAAAAACTAATTAAAACAGCCTTGGAAAACAGTATCTTCTCTCTCATTAGAAGTATTCAAGCACAGACTGGTTGACCAGCCACTTGTTCAACATGTTATTAGAGGTATTTCTTTTGGTTATGGATTGGATTAGATAGTCTCTGAAAGCAACTCAACTCAAAAGCGTGTGGATATACCATCTTCTCTCAATATCAATTAAAATTTTTTTTTTGATAAAAAGTGGACATGGACCCTTCAAACTCACTTAAGTAAGAAGATTAGAACCAACTGTCGACTATGAGAATACTATAATTTAACAGATAGCTGACAATTACATAGCATTTTAAGCTTTGCAAAGAGCTTTACACACAGTATCTCATTTTAAGTTTCACAACAACCCTGGGATGTAGGTAACACAGGTACTTTCATTCTCCTTCATAAGGGAATAAAAATCAAGGCATAGAGTCATATCTACAGTCACACCTGGTAAAGGTTAAAAGCAAGAGTTGAAAGCAGGTCTTCCAGATAGCACATCCAGTGTTCTAACCACTTCACCACCCAGTTCTAAAATTTTAAGGTTCTAGATCTAGGCAGGAGCCAAGAAAATGGTAACAAATTAATATATAGATACAGATCCTATTTTCAACAAATGTCAAGTGTAAAAATCATCAAATAAGGTAGCCAGGAGCTAGTCAGCTAAGCCACTTAGAAGCCCAAGTTCTCCCCAGGGGGGCAAATTAACTTTCTTTATTCCATAAACACAGAATACATCCCTAAATAGACAACCATCTTGCCAATGCATCCCCCCTTGGTAACAAGGAAGGCAAGGTGAGAATGGAGAAAATAACATAAACCATAATCACTGGAAAAAATACTTCAAAGCACATACCTCATTTCTTGTGGGTCTGAATTATTCATTGTGTGTATAAATAGGTTATAGTACATTACCAAAGATAATATGCCCATGATACATGGTATAAGAGACATCATCCGGGACACAGAAGTTTGGAAAATGAAGTGGGCTAATGCATAAGGAGCAAAGGATAATAGATGGATAACCAGAGTGCTGAATCCCTACTCACGTAATTTTAAAAGATCCAGAGGAAAGCCTGCAGTATATCAGGACCCCTCCTCCCAGTCTTCTTTTATAAGAGGACATGGGACAAGGGTCCTAGACGATAAAAGTGTGAAACATCTCTGAGCTGGAGGGGAGAAGCACCATAAATATTCGCCCTTTACAGCAGAGAGAGAAAGTCATCCTCATGAGGCTAGATCAAGAAAAGGGGCAGGGGTCGTCATAGTTCCAGGACATGATACTACTACCTCCCTGGTCTGAACGAATCTCTTTTCCATCTGTCCCTTTACCAACCATGCTCAAAGACTACTTTTTGATCTCTAACATGCTGTCACGCTCAGCAAGACACTACCTTGTTTGCACACAGTTGTTTGCATGTTGTCTCCCCCGTTAGGCTGTGAGCTCCTTGAGGGCAGAGACTCTTCTGCATTTCCTCGTATTCCCAGCACTTAGCACGTTTACTGTTGTTTAATCGTGTCTGACTCTCCGTGACACCTTTTGGGATTTTCTTAACAAAAATATTGGAGTGGTTTCCCATTTCCTTCTCCAGCTCAATTTACAGAAGAGAAAATAGGGGTAGGTGACGTAAGCATGGTCACACAGCTAAGTGTGTGTCTGAGGCTGAATTTGAACTCAGGTCTGACTCCCACTGCACAACCTAGCTGCCCCGCCTGGCACACAGTAGGCGCTTAATGAATGCTTGCCGATAGACTAGTTGGGGTACGGGGAAAGGATACAGAAGGACAATACCACAGGCCCACCACCTCAGTTTCCCCTCTCACTCTAGTCTTCCAGAGGTTCATGAGCCGCTTCGGGAGACGGGAGATGAGCCCCGCCTCTCCTGGAACCAAAACGCAACAGAAACGCGAGGAAAGAAGGGAGAGGAGAGGAGTAAAAATGACAAACCCAACCAAAACTACTGAGACGAATAACGTAAGAAAGCTTCGGTTACCTCGAATATCTACCGCCGCCATAGCGCCAGACTCAACGCAGCCTCCCCTCACTTCCGGCGCGGAATAATACGTCAGAGAAAAAACGAACAACGGCGTTCCGCGCCGGAAGAGGCCCTAGGCGAAGCGGAGGGGCGGGGCCAGGCCCGCGAGGAAAGGGCGGGCGGGGGCGGGGCCAGGCCTGCGAGGAAAGGACGGGCGGGGGCGCGGCATGAGAGGGATGGGAGGAGAGTTGGAGGAGGAAAGGAAGGGAAAGAAGCGGGGAAAGAAAGAGAGAGGGAGGCAGGGAAAAGTAAAAGGCTTCTGGGGAGTGAGTGGGGTGGGCTGGCTTGAGAGGGAAGGGAAAAAAGGAATAATGGGGAAGTAGAAGGAGGTAGGAGGGAAAAAGAGGCAGGGAAGACTAGAAGGCCAAGTGAGGGGGAGGGGCTGGCCAGAGAGGAGGAGGAGGAGGAGGAATAGGGGGGAGGAGAAAAGTGAAAACATGTTTGCTGGAAATGCGTTTGGCTCAGATGGCTCTGCGTCCTAATTCTCTTCCCCTCTCCTTCCACCAAAAAGTATTCACCAATCCTGTGCCCTGTAGTAGGAAATATTATTATAATTATGCACACTTAGGTAGCTCTGACTTAACAAGAGCCTTGGGGAGATTCAGAAACAAGTTTTGTTCCCATTTTACAAAGGAAAAGTTAAGGCCTAGAGAACTCAAGTCACTTGCCCAGAGTCAGGCTTTAGTGTCAGAGAGGAGACTACTCAAGACCGTTTAACAAACGACAGGTACGCTTTTTAAAAGTTTTATCTGCATTACTGGCATTTTCTCCATCACTTTCTTCTACCCCTTTTGGAGAATAAGATGACCAAAGACGGCAGGATGTGCCTTGGCTTGACTTGGCTTGCCAAAATCTGTGGAAGTTGTTTTGGAAACAGGGCTGGGCTGAATGGAAATGTGAAATACCAATTCAGCAGACTTCGTATTTTGATGTTTAAATTAATCAGCAAGTTTAGTCAACAAGTATGTAAGTGCCTACTGTTTGCCAAAGCTTGCCAGAAACTTTAGGGATACAAAGAAAGGCAAAAACAGGCCCTGCTCTCAAAGGGAGTTAACATGAAAAGAACTATGTACATACAAGTTATATACAGGTTAAAATAGAGATGATCCCAGTGGGAAAGTACTAGTGTTAAGGAGAATTGGCAATGGCTTCCTGTAGAAGGTGAGATTTCAACTGAGACTTAAGAGAAGCCAGGGCATGTGGGACAGCCAGGGGAAATGGCCAGAGTCAGGAGATAGGTATGTCTTGTTCAGCAAACTCCAAGGAGAGCAGTATCATTGGATCATCGAATACATGGAAGGAATAAAGGTGGAAGAAAATTGGAAAGGTAGGAAGGAGCCAGGTTATGAAGAACTTTAAAAGCTAAAGAGTGTATTTTATATTTGATCCTGGAGATGATAGGGATCCATTGGAATTTATTGAATGGGGAAGGGAAAAGGGTAGGACAGAGGAGGAGGGTAACATAGGCTGATGCCTTTTTAAAGATTGCTTTGGAAGAGAGCAGAACCAGGAGAATATTTTAAACAGTAATGGCAATATTAAGCGACAAAGAACTGTGAATGACTTGGCAATACAATGATCCAAGACAATACCATAGGACTCGAGGAAAAATGCTATTCACTTCCAGAGAAGGAACTGATGTTGTCTGAATACACACTGAAACATACTATTTTCACTTTCTTTTTTTTGTTGTTGTTCTAGTCTTCCTGCACAAAATGACTAATGTGGAAATGTTTTACATGATTGCACATGTATAACCTGTATCAGATTGCTTTGGGGAGGAGGGGAGAGAGTTAGGGATAGAATTTGTTACTCAAAACTTTAAAAAAAGGAATATCAAGAATTGTTTCTACATGTAATTTTGAGGCAAATAAAATTAAAACAAAGATTACTTTGACAACTGATTGGAGGATGAATGGAAATAGGGAGAGATGTGAGGCAGGGAGACCACCTAGAAGGCTATTGCAATTGTCCAGGCATAATAAGGTGATGAGAGCCATGCCAAGGTGGTAGAAATGTCAGAGGAGAGAACAGGGAGCATATGAGATATTTTATGAATGTAGAATTGGCAGGACTTAGTAACAGATTAGGGATGTGAGGGAGAGAAAGTGAGAAGTCAAAGATGACACCTAGGTTGCAAACCTGGGTGACTAGAAGAATGATGGTACCCTCAATAGTAATTAGAAAGTTAGTGCATAGTTCCAAATTGCTCTATAAAATAGTTGAGTCAGTTCACAACTCCACCAACAATGCAATAATGTCTCGTTTTTCCCACATCCCCTCCAACATTTCTGTCCTATTAGCCAATCCAGTACGTGTGAGAGAGTACCTCAGAATTGTTTTAATTTGCATTTCTCCAATCAATAGTGAGTTAGAATATTTTTTCATATGGCTATGGATACCTTTCATTACTTCATCTGAAAACTGATCATATCATTTGAACATTTATCGATTGGGGAATGGCTCTTATTTTATAAATTTAACTCAGTTCTCTACATGTTTGAGAAATGAGGCCTTTATCAGAGAAACTTGCTTCAAAATTTTTTCCACAGTTACTACTGCTAACTGTATTTCCCTTCATCCTGTCCCCCCCATTTATTCTATTCTCTCTCTCCTTTCACCCTATCTCTCCTCAAAAATATTTTGCTTCTGACTACCCCCTCCCCCAATTTGCCCTCCCTTCTATCACCCCTCATCTTCTCTTATCTCCTTCCCCTCCTACTTTCCTGTAGGATAAGAAAAATTTCTATACCAAATTGTGTGTTATTCCCTCTTTGAGCTAATTCTGATGAGAATAAGGTTCATTCAAATCCCCTCACCTCCTATCTCTTCCCCTGGATTGTAAAAGCTTTTTCTTGCCTGTTTTATGTGAGACAATTTACCCATTCTACCTCTTCCTTTCCCTTTCTCACAATATATTCCTCTCTTGCCCCTTATTTTTTTTCACATATCATCCCTTCATATTCAACTCACACCTGTGCCCTGTGTCTGTGTGCTCCTTCTAACTACCCTTATAATGAGAAAGGTCTTGTGAGTTACAAATATCGTCTCCCATGTAGGAATATAAATAGTTTAAACTTATTAAGTCCCTTGTGATTTCCCTTTCCCATTTACCTCTTTATGCTTCTCTTGAGTCTTGTATTTGAAAGTCAAATTTTCTATTCAGCTCTGGTCTTTTCATCAAGAACACTTGAAAGTCCTCTGTCTCATTGAATTTCCATTTTTTTTCCCCTGAAGGATTATACTCAGTTTTGCTGGGTAGGTGATTCTTGATTATAATCCTAGCTCCTTTGCCTTCCAGAATATCATATTCCAAGCCCACCAAGCCTTTAATGTAGAAGCTGCTAAGTCTTCTGTCATCCTGACTATGGCTCCATGATACTTGAATTGTTTCTTTCTGGCTGCTTGCAATATTTTCTCCTTGACCTAGGAACTCTGAAATTTGGCTGCAGTATTCCTGATAGTATTCATTTTGGGATCTCTTTCAAGAGATGATTGATGGATTCTTTGAATTCCTATTTTACCCTCTGGTTCTAGAATATCAGGGTACTTTTCCTTGATAATTTCTTGAAAGATGCTGTCCAGGTTCTTTTTTTGATCATAGCTTTCAGATAGTCCAGTAATTTTTAAATTCTCTCTCCTGGCTCTATTTTCCAGGGCAGTTGTTTTCCTGATGAGATATTTCACGTTCTCTTCTATTTTTTCATTCTTTTGATTTTGTTTTAAAGTGTCTTGAGTTCTCATAAAGTCATTAGCTTCCATTTGCTCCATTTTAATTTTTAAGGAATTATTGTCTTCAGTGAGTTTTTGGACCTCCTTTTCCATTTGGCCAATTCTGCTTTTTAAGGCATTCCTCACCTCATTGGCTTTTTGGACCTCTTTTACCATTTGGCCTAGTCTGTTTTATTTTGTTTGTTTGTTTGTTTGTTTGTTTTTTTGTGAGGCAGTTAGGGTTAAGTGACTTGCCCAGAGTCACACAGCTAGTGAGTGTTATGTGTCTGAAGCTGGATTTGAACTCAGGTCCTCCTGACTCCAGAGCCAGTGCTGTATCCACTGCGCCACCTAGCTGCCCCAAGTCTGTTTTTTAAGGTGTTATTTTCTTCAGTATTTTTTGTGTCTCCTTTACCAAGCTGTTGAGTCTTTTTTTTTTTAATGATTTTCTTGCACCATTCTCATTTCTCTTCCCAATTTTTCCTCTGCCTCTCTTACTTGATTTTCAGAATCCTTTTTGAGGTCTTCCATGGCCTGAGACCAATTCATATTTTTCTTGGAAGCTTTGGTTGTAGGAGCTTTGACTTTGTTGTCTTCTTTTGAGTGTGTTTTGATCTTCCTTGTCATCACAGTAACTTTTTATAGTCACAGTTTTTTCTCGTCGTTTGCTCATTTTCCCAGCCTATTACTTGACTTTTAACTCTTTGTTAAAGTAGGGCTCTGCTTCCAGAGTGGAGGGTGCACTGTTCCAAGCTTCAAGGGTTTTTGTGCAGCTATTTTCAGAGATACTACTAGAGACCTGTAATTTTTCAGTTCTTCCAAGTTGGAATGATCTAAGGAGAAATGTTTATTATTCTCCTGGCCTGTGCTCTGGTCTGTGAGTGACCACAAGCACTCTTTTCTGCCCTGGTACTGTGAGGGTCGCCCCTTCACTGTGGCTGCAAGTTCTGCTGTGGTAGTGCTTCTCCTCACCCTGGCACCAGAGTCCTGCCTTGGTGCTAACAAAAAGACCCCTGTAATCTCCTTCTGACCAATTATTTGACCCCCTTACCATCTGAGGGCTGAGAACTCAAGAAGCAGCCACTGCTGTGGCTCCCAAGGTCTGCTCCTGGTTTGCTGGGGCCAGGGCTGTGCTGGCATGGTCTATGGTGGACTACACTCCACTCTCACCCAAGTAGCACAGACCTTTCCTGCTAACCTTCTAAGTTGTCTTTGGCATCTGTGGGATGAGAGTCTGGAAACCACCACTACTGCCACTGATTCAGTCACCCCAAGGCCTGCTCCTGGTTTGCTGGGGCCAGGTCTGTGCTGGTGCAGCCTGCACTGGACTGCACTTCTCTCATTCTGG